TTGCGAACTTGCTATCGCGGTGGACCACTTGGTGGGGGCCTTGCTGCGGCGAACTTGCTATCGCGGTGGACCACTTGGTGGGGGCCTTGCTGCTGCGAACTTGCTATCGCGGTGTACCACTTGGTGGGGGCCTTGTTGTATTTGTAGTTGCAGTTGCTGCTGCTGGAGCGTTGACAAATTTGTAGTTGCAGTTGCTGCTGCTGGAGCACTGGCAAATTTTTGGTTGCAGTTGCTGCTGCTGAAGCGCTCGCAAATTTAAGGTTGCAGTTGCTGCTGATTTGGCTCTTGCAACTGCCTCAACACTTGTTAGCTGCTTCGTTTCTACAAATAAACCCAATTAATATTACAAATCTACTTACTATTTCAGATACTTAGTATGCAGCCGCTCGTTCACAATTTGTTTTGCCGGTGGTACTCCAGTCGATGGGGCCACTTGACGCCCTTTGCTCCACTCCAGCTCCAAATGGTTGGAAAACCACTCCAACGCAATTGATTTCCACTTACAGGGGTTTTGTAAGTTTTTTTTGCACGAAAACCAAAAAAAAAAAAATCGCGTGTTGTCAACGTGAGTTGCAAAATAGTTCTTTTGGTTGTTTTTATTTTTCTTTGGGTGCGTTCGGAAACGTCAAATTGGTTGGGGTCTTCACCAAAGAATGTAATAAAAAACAAAAGTCGGTGGCGGGTTTCACCAATGAATGCAATATAAAAAGCTTTAAGATGTGTTTAATTGCACACGATTCAACGTGTACAAGAAAATAAAAAACGTCCGTACAACATCCGGCCATTAGCCGAAACGAGCGACGAAGGCGAGGTGCTGGAAATCGACGCCGATGAAGAAGACCTCCAACCAGCATCGGATGATGGTCCCGGTCGGTAGTGCAGCGAGCCCCAGCAACGAGGTCGAAGCGCCGAGGCGCACACCGACGTCACCGGCGACCCCAGCAGCAACCCCACCGCCGTGGTGTGAGAGACGCCCGAGAGCGGATTACGGGCACGGCCCGTAGCGCTCCTGGGCTCTCTGTCCTCACACCCACAGTAGCGGTGAAGATCAGTTCCCGAGAGAGGACGCAAGTAGTGCGCGCCATCGTCGACCCAGCGCAGCCCAGGTCGACAATATCGCTTCACCTGGCCCGCCAACTTCGAGTTTGGCCAGGTGGCTAAGCAGACATGTGCAGACTCACGCTTCGAGGATGGCACGAGAGACTGGACGTCTGCGCCGACGTACAACCAGGCCTCTCTCGGGTAACTTCCCTCGCACGCTGGACGCCAGGATCACCAACGAATTTGACAATTTTCGGCTCGCCGACCAGTCGTTCTACCGGTCCAGCGCGGTATCGCTGGTGTTAGAAGCGGAGGTATATGCGATGATTCTGCGTCCGGGGCTCATGCCAGCCACCCCCACTCGACCTACGGCGCAGAACACAATGTTCGGGTGGATGATTTCTGAAGGCACCATATATTGAATGAAAAGAAGAGTAGTTAAGTCAATAATGAATTTATGAATTGTTAAAGAAAAAAATTAACTTATGAATTGTAAATAGTAAAATGAATTGTAAATAGTTACATGAATTGTTAATACTCTAGTTAAGTTTATTGCAGCGACACTGCAAGGCGGGCGGCATGTTTACGCTAACCCCCTTCACCTTAAGTATATTTATTGATTAGAGAATTTCACTAGTAGATGTCGCTGTGATCGAAGCGGGAACAGTTACTCGTTACTCGAGTTCCTTTTTCCCGAGTTCTGTTACTCGCCTCGGATGTTGGGTTTCGCCTTCTGCGATCACCCAACACTCTGCCACTTTGGAAGAGAACTCCGAGCAATCAACAAGTAAGGTCCTCATCATCAATCTATTTTTATAAATTTGTATTACAGCATTTTTTTTATATACACATATATATATAATAAAGTGGCCGTTAGGCACTCATATATATATACATATAATTGTGAAAAGTGTGAAGTGTTTAATTTCATTTTGAGCGAATTTTTTGCGGTTTGATTCAACCTCGAAGGACTTTAGGGATTCGGCACCTCCTCGACCCTCGTTTGCCGCGGAATTCAAGAGGAATTCCCGGCCCCCATTTCACCCCGTCCCGAACATATACAAATATGCATAACAGAAGAAAGGGGATTTAATCGTCTTTACAACGATACCAATTTTTAAAAAAATTTTCTAGTAATTTTTTTGTTCAACATATTTTTTTTTTTATAGAAAAAGGTATTTTTTCATTTAAATTTGTTTTTTCTACAATGTTTGTATACGAAGTATACAAAAGTGCAAATCGGAAGAAAGGGGTTTGATCACCTTTACAACGATATAAATTAAAAAAAAAAAATCAGTTCAAAATTGTTTGCACTATAAGGAATTTAATTTTTCGAAGACCTGAACTTTGACCCCTTATATCACCCAAGAATGATAGAATACAAGATTGCGCCGATTGCAGCAAAATTCGTTAGAGTAATTCAAGCGTGACGTCATCGTAGAGTTGACAACTGAGAGCGGCGAGAATAAGGGCGATTAGTGATGTGTTGAATTGTCCCCAATACTCGGTACCCAATACTTAAAAAAGATTTGGGTACCCAATACTTCCTTTTGGGTATCCCATACCGATTCTTTATATTAAACCTTCGCCATTATATGCATTTCAGGTTTAGAAAAAACTTGCATTACTAACTTATATGATATCGGCTAAAACACTTGAACTTATCGCCAGAGAGAAATATTATTTTATCAGTTTTAACCTTAGTCGATCCAAGGTTCAAGAAAAACGCTTTGACGGATGAAGAAGCTTTTCAGGGGGGAGATCTCACCAGTTGGCGACAAGTTTCGGATCGATATCGCACTTGTTGACGTAAAAATATTTCATATCATACGCTAACAAAGCCGATACCGATTCGAAAATTGTCGCTAACTGGTTATAGAGTCTGCCCCCAGGCCTCCAAAATGATATCGCCCGATTCAGCTGGAACAAAAATGCTTCATACAAGTAAGAGTTTCTCTGCGTTATGGCCTCGAACCGACTTATATACATCTTTCATTTGAATCAGTATTAAAAGCTCTATTGGCTCCTACATTCGGGTTTTGATAGGCGAGTCTCCCCTGAGCCGTTTTTTCCATATCTTTGGCCTGCGTGCGCTTTTATTCGAAATCGGTACCAAGTATCGAGAGTATTGGATACTTTTTAAATCGGTACTGAATATCGATCAATACTTGAAAGTATTGACTCAGCACATCACTACTGCTGTCATCTCGACTGTGACGTCAGCAAAACAGCTGATTCTGTCAAATTCACTGAGAGCCGATTAGCGGTGTTGCGATCAGCGCCACCTTCTGTGTTCTCTCCGCGGTGTATATCACCTGTAATATAAGTTTGCATAAAAAAAAGTTATATACCATTTAAATAAGAGCAAAAGGAGGACTACGTATATATTTTTAGGTTTATAGTTATTTTCTTGGAATAATTAAATATAATTTTTTACCAAAGGTCCTATTTCGAACTTCGAAGGCCCATATCTCGATTTCGGAGGCCAACTTCGAAAAACGGAGAAATCACTGTTTTACCTATGACTCAATCTCTTAAAAAAGTTGGTTTGGTCTAATACCCAGAAAAAAAGTTGATTTTGCCGTACAGTGTATTTATACATCAGTTATTGTTCTATGTTAAAAAATATCTTTCGCTGTTGTATAAGTTCCGACGAGATAGATAATATTCGCAATAGATCACATTCTGGAGTAAAATGTCCCACTAGTCACAATGGAATGGCCCTGATGCATTTCAAATAAATTGTAAAATGTTTTGAATTTTAAATATGCTCATGTTTTTTAGGACAATCCCAATGTTTCAGATGATACTTTAGGCTTCTTGCGTTCAGCTTACGGCAAAGCTCGACTATTGGTGTCACAAAAAATGAAGCAATTTGAAGGTAAGTGCAATGTATAGTATTAAATGATTGTAATTCTGCATGCAGTTTTTAATTTTTTCGTCAATTACATTTTAAAGGACTTAAATGTGTAAAATGGCAAAATTTTTCAAAAAATGGTTTTAAATACTTGTACTCCATGATATTTATATGGATATCAGGGGAAAGAGGATATACCAGGGTTGCGTGATTTTGATTTAGTCAAATCACAAATCCATAAATAAAATTTATTTCTGAATTGAAAGTTGCATCAAATCCTACATAAATTTTATTTGTGATTTGCTTGGTCAATCAAATAAAAGATAAGTTTTATTTGTGATTTGATTCGTCAACCGCATAAAAAATAAATTTTATTTGTGATTTGGTTCGTCAACCAAATCAGAAATCAAATTGATTTGTAATTTGAATCGCCCTCCAAATTAGAAATCAAATTGATTTGTGATTTTAATCGTCCCCAAATCAGAAATCCAATTGATTTGTGATTGGAATCGTTCCCAAATCAGAAATCAAATTTATTTGTGATTTGATTTGTAGATCGAATCATTTGGTTTGTGATTTTTCAGCTAAATAATACTCTTTAAGGCAATGCAACTAATTCGGGATTTTTGGGACAAATTCGGAATTTTTGGGACTATTTCCATATATTCGGGCTCTCGGATATGTACCGGGATTTTTGGAACTATTTTGAAATTTTCGAGACTTCTTCGAGATTTTCAGGATTATGGGACTAATTCCGTATTGTTGGGACTATTTCAGGTTTTGTGAGACTTCTTCGGGATTTTCTTTCGGGGGTTTTTGGGATTTTTGGACTATTTCAGGTTTTCGAGAATTCTTCGGCATTTTCTGGACTATTTCGGGTTTTTCGAGACAACTTCGGTATTCTCGTGCCCATATCGGGATCTGCGGGACTAGTTCGGGATTTTTGGGATTAATTCGGATTTGTTGGTACTATTTTGGGTTTTTCGAACTATTTCGACATTTTCGGGGTTCTTAACGCTATTTCGGGATCTTAGGGATTTTTGGGACCAATTCGGAATTTTTGGGACTATTTCGGGTTTCTCGAGACTACTTCGGGATTTTCGGGGATCTCGGGAATATATCGGGATTTTTGGGACTATTTTGTTATTTTGGAACTATTTCCGGATTTTCAGCACTATTCCGGGCTTTTCGAGACTACTTTGAGAGTTGCGGGGTTCTCGGGACTATATCGGGATCTTCAGGACTACTTCGGGATTTTTGAGACCAATTAGGAATTTTTGGGACTATATTGGGGTTTCGGGACTATTTTGGTATTTTTGGGACAACTTCGAGATTTTCGGGGTTCTCGCGAATATATCGGGATCTTCGGGTCTACTTCGGGGATTTTGGGATAAATTCTGACTTCGAGTTTTTCGAGACTACTTCGGCTTCTTGGGATAAATTCATAGTTTTTGGGACTCCTACGGGTTTTTCGAGACTCCTTCGGGATTTTCAGGATTTTGGGACTAATTCGGTATTTTTAAGGCAAATTTTGGATCTTGGAGACAATTTCGTGATTTTCGGGGTTCTCGGGAATATAACGGGATTTTTGGGACTATTTCGGGTTATCGGGGCTATATCGGAATCTTCGGGACTACTTCGGTTCTTTTTGGACCAATTAGGAATTTTTGGGACTACTTCCGAGAGGGTTTCGGGGTTCTCGTGAATAGATCGGGATTTTTGCGACCCAATTCGGAACTTTTGGGACTATCTCGGTTATTCGACACTACTTCGAGATTTTCAGGATTTTTGGGAATATTTCGGGATCTTCGGGATTTTTTGGACCAATTCGGAATTTTTCTACTACTTCGAGATTTGCGGGGTTCTCGGGAATATATCGGGATTTTTGGACAATTTCGGGTTTTCTTCGGGACATTCAGGACTATTTCGGGTTTTTCGAGACTGTTTCGAGATTTTCAGGAGTTTTGGGACTATTTCGGAATTTTTGGGACAACTTCGCTATTTTCGGGGTTCTCGGGAATATATCGGGATTTTTAGTATTATTTCGGGATTGATGGACTATTTCTAGATTTCTTCGGGATTTTCAGTACTATTCCGGGGTTTTCGAGCTACTTGGAGATTTTCGGGGTTCTCGGGACTATACCTGGAACTTCGGGACTACTTCAGTATTTTTGGGACCAATTAAGAATTTTTGCGACTATTTCCCGCTTTTCGAGACTACTTCCGAAGTTTTCGGAGTTCTCGCGACTATATCGGGATTTCTTATCGAAGAAGCGTCGAAAAACCCGAAATAGTTCCAAAAACACCAAATTAGTTAGAAAAATACCGAAGTAGTCCCGAAGATATACCCCGAGAACCCCGAAAAACCCGGAAAAGTCCTGAAAATCCCGAAGAAATATCGAAATAGTCCAATCCTGAAATAGTCAAAAAAAAAATGTTCCCGAAAACCCCGAGAATCACGAAGTTGTCCTAAAAATTTCGAAACAGTCCCAAAAATCCTGAAAATGTGCAAGTAGTGTCGAAAAACCCAAAATAGTCCCAAAGTAGTCCCGAAGATCCCGATGTAGTACCGAGAATACCGAAAATCTCGAAAGTAGTTTCGAAAAACCCGGAATACTCTCGAGAATCCCGAGAAAATCTCCAATATCCCGAAATAGCCTCAAAAATACCGAATTAGTCCCAAAATCTTGAAAATCCCGAAGTAGTCTCGAAAAATCCTAATTGGTCCCAAAAATCCCGAAGTAGTCCCGAAGATCCCGATATAGTCCCGAGGACCCTGAAAATCTCGAAAAACCCTGAATAGTCGCGAATATCCCGAAATAGTTCAAAAATACCAAAATAATCCCAAAAATCCCGATATATTCTCGAGAACCCCGAAAACCTCGAAGTAGTCACGAAAAACCCGCAATGGTCCTGAGAATCCCGAAGAAAACCCGAAAGTATCGAAATTGTCCAAAAATCTCGATATATTCCCGAGAACCCCGTCAATCTCGCAGTAGTAGAACAATTCTGAATTGGTCCCAAAAAGCCCGAAGATCCTGAAATAGTCCCAAAAATCCTGAAAATCTCGAAGTAGTGTCGAAAACACGATTTAGTCCCAAAAATTCCGAATTGGTCACAAAAATCCCGAAGATTTCGAAATAGCCCCGAGAACCCCGAAAATCTCGAAGTAGTCTCGAAAAACCCGAAATAGTCCCAAAAATCCCGAAGTAGTTGCAAATTAAATCAAAAGATTCGCTCCACAAATCCAATCACAAATAAATTTGTTTTCTGATTTGGAGGGCGATTCAAATCACAAATCAATTGGATTTCTGATTTGGTTGACGAATCAAATCACAAATAAAATTGATTTTTTATTTGGTTGACGAATCAAACTTTTATTTGGTTGACCAAACAAATCACAAATAAAATTTATTTCTTATTCGGATGACAAATCAAATCAGAAATAAATTTTATTTTTAATTTGGTCAACAAACCAAATCACAAATCAAATATATTTGTAATTAAATGCGGATTTTAAATCAAAAAGTATTTGAAATCACGCAACCTATGAAAAAAAAATGCTTAAAATCAATATGTCCCTCTGGGTATATGTTATTTAGGAGAAAATTTCAACAAAAAAAAATTATTATAAATCAACGCAATTTCTTAGCCACTTAAAAGTTGTACGTTGTCATACAAAGAAATTCTTTTTAAAAAATCTGAAAAAAGGTAAAAATTTGGGTAAAAATTCGTTGCATTTTCCTTAATTTTGTATACACTTTTAAACTTTGATTTATATGGTTTTGTTTATAGCATGAACCACATTTTTGTATAAAAATAACAAAAAAAGATAGCTTGAAAAACTTTGTGAATATTTAAAATACAAGGGTGTACGCAGATATAATTGAGTGAGCGTATGTAGTAGTGCCGCGGGATCATTGCTACCCAGTCGTCAAAATGAGGAGCTCTAAATAAACCCTTTCACAGGCCAACCTAATATTACCGACGTGAATTTTTCTAAGCACGAAAGTTTTTCACATTTGAGTAATCGAAATAAATTTGCGTGCGTGATTTTTCAGAATTGCATTTCTGTCAAATTGCAGAAGTTGAGCAAAATTTGGGCATAAATTCAGAATAGCTTCGAATCTAAAATTAAAAAAAAACACATGGGGATCGATAGAGATCATTGAGGGGAGTATAACGGTATATTTCTTTTCTTGCGCAGATGCAAACTGAGTAAAAGGGCCTATACATGATACTTTGAACAACTTAAACGGCAAAAGATCTGTCATTGCAAAAATTTTATCAAGAAATTGTCAGAGTTAATCTTCATATACATTTCCAAGAAAACATTAAATAATTTTTTTATAGGTGGCGGATGTTTTTTACAATTAAATATTTAAAAAAGGTGAAAAAACATTGGGCGAATAAAAACAAAAAATTTTTTTAAAATAGTTCCATAAAACATTTCTTTCATTTTATTTGCGTGGTTTCCTTTTGAGGCATTCGTTTCTGTCCATATGTATATGTGCATATAAAATGCGAATACAATTAAAACTCTTTGGGGGTATACTGAATTAATTCTTAAAATTAGTATACGTACATATGAATAGTCCACTTGCAAAGTGCTCTATGCAAAATTTTTTAGATTTTTAGTTTTTGGTGGTTAACGTATCTACCAGTATTTAAAGTAGTTTCATGTCCATTAACAATACAGTGCAAAATCCTTATATATTCTGAAAAAAATAGCATCAAATGTTAGCTACTCTAGCAAAAGTCGCTACAATAGGTACTGTATGTATATATACACTTTCAAAAGTCGCTGTAATATTTATTGTACATATTTATAAAAGTTTAAAAGTCGCCACCTTCTGATGAACTTAGAAAACTGCAAGAAAACGTGGTAGTTTCGGTGCCTAGTGGAAGACGTCGTAAAAAAGAAGTAGACCAATCTTCATGGAAGAGAAAACGCGAAGAGTTAAAAAAGCTAGCTATGTAAAAGTTACTGTTTCAAAACTTGCTATATTAATTTTTTCCGCCCA